CCCCCCCCCCCCCCCCACGGCCCCCCACTCACCCCCGCTCCCCCCATAGAAGAACTCCAAGTACAGGCAGCAGAAGAAACCCTCGTTGGCCGCGCACACGGTGAACAGCAGCGCCTATGGGGCAGACGGGGACAACACAGCTATGGGGCTGCCCCATAACCGCCCCCCCGACCCATATCTGCCCCCCCAGCCCCATAACTCCCCGCCCCAGCCCCATAACTGCGCCCCTCCGCCCTACGTCTGCTCTCTCTCGCCCCATAGCTGCCCCCATATCAGCCCTCACTGCCCCATATCTGCCCCTCCTGCCCCACATCCGCCCTCCTCAGCCCCACAGCTGCCCCCCCCCGCCCCACACCCACCTTATGCCCATAGTAGAGCTGCAGCAGTCGATTCTCCCCCTGCCCCACATTTTTGTGGCTCTCGCCCCCTTCCAACGTCGTCCTACGTAGAGAAAACATGAAGGGGGCGGAGCCTGTTTCACCCCGCCCCCTCCACGCAGCACCACCACCACTAAGCCCCTCCCACAAAGCAGCCCCCTTCCCCTTTAACGTGGCTTATTCCTAAGCCCCGCCCCTTCCCCAAGCCCCGCCCCCTCGAGGCCCCGCCCCCTACACACGCACGACCAATAGATGCCACCATCTCAACCAATCCCAACAGGCCCCGCCCCCTCTCGCAAGCCCCGCCCCCCATAGGACCCAATCCCTTCCCCAAGCCCCGCCCACATGTGCGCACGCCCAGCCAATGGCTGGCCTGCCCTCATTGCCCCATGCATTCTGTAGCCCCGCCCCCTCTCTGAGCCCCTACCCATGGGGCTCCGCCCCCTTCTGCTAAGCCCCGCCCACGTGCGCACTTGCAGCCAATGGCTGCAGCCAATTTTCCCCAGCCCAGCCCCTTTAAACCCGGCACTCTTTAAACCCAACCCCCCTTTTTCTAAGCCCCGCCCCTAATCCAAAGCCCCCTCTAAGCCCCGCCCATTCCCTAAGCCCCGCCCCCATGCACACGTGCAGCCAATGGCTGGCTTCGCTTTTCCCAACCCTTGCCCTCTAAGCCCCGCCCCCCGCTTTAAGCCCCGCCCCCTTTTAAGCCCCACCCACACATACACACGCATCCAATGGCTGCCCTCAAATCTTGCCCCACCCCCTCCTCAAGCCCTGCCCCCTTTTAGCCCCTCCCCATCCACAAAGCCCGCCCCCTCTAAGCCCCGCCCTCTCCCTGGTAAGCCCCGCCCACGTGTGCATGTGCAGCCAATGGCTGGCGACGTCGAGGCAGACGCTGAGCTGCAGCAGGGGGGCGGCGCTGGGGTAAAGCAGGGCCAGGTTGAGCTGCAGGCACAGCAGGGAGCAGCGATCCGTCAGCATGTCCAGCATGGCGCCCAGCCGAGAGCCTGGGGGCAAAGGTCAGGGGTCAAAGGTCGTAAAGGGGAAGGGGTCAGGAAATCGAGGGGGGGGTGCTGTCGTGGGGGGGCTGTCAGGATGCCCAGCGTGGCACCCGAATGGCAACCTGGGGTCAAAGGTCAGGGGTCACAAGTTCAGGGGGTCAAAGGCCGCACTCGCCCCTGAAGCCCCTCCCTCCTCCCTTGAAGTCCCAGCCAACTGAAGCCCCGCCCCTTCCGGAAGACCAAACCGAAGCTCCTCCCTCGCCCGGGAGACCCTCTCCACGAAGCCCCGCCCCTTCCTGTATTCCCGGGCACCTGAAGCCCCGCCCCTACCACAAGCCCCTCCCTCCCCCACCTCATCCCCCCAGAAGCCCCGCCCCCTTTCTCCTCCGAAGCCCCTGAAGCCCCGCCCCCGGAAGTCCCCTCTGCAGCCCCACCCGTTCCGGAAATCACCGAAGCCCCCCCTGAAGCCCCAACCCCCTCTCCCCCCTCCGAAGCCCCTCCCGGAAGTTCCGATCCCCGGAAGCCCGTCCCGTCCCGGAAGTTCCCCCCATCCCGGAAGTCCCGCTCACCCTGATCGAGCCACCGTGCCGCCATTCCATCCACGGCGTCCATGGCGGCGCTGAGGCCGTAGCAGAGCGCGGCGGGGAGGGGGGAGCTCGGCATCAGCAGCACCGACATGGCGGCCAGCAGCACCCGCGCGTAGCCTGAAACCGGGACGGGGGGCGCGACGTGTGGGGCGGACCCATAGGGTGCCCCATTGGCTCCTATGGGGCCCCATTGGCCCCCACTGTGCCCCATAGGCTGCCCCATAGAGTGCCCCATTGGTCCTATGGGACCCACTGGGTCCTATGGGGCCCCACTGGATCCTACTGTGCCCCATAGGCCCCCACTGTGCCCCATAGGCTCCTACTGTGCCCCACTGTGCCCCATTGGATCCTATTGTGCCCCATAGACCCCCACTGTGCCCCATAGGGTGCCCTATTGGGTCCTATGGGGCCCCATTGGATCCTCTTGTGCTCCACAGGCCCCCACTATGCCCCATACGGTCCTCTTGTGCCCCACTGTGCCCCATTGGATCCTATTGTGCCCCACTGTGCCCCATAGAGACCCACCGTGCCCCGTTGTGTCCCATCCCCCCCCCCCATATCCC